AACGAGTAGCAACTTTTCGCCGCGGGGTGGACGCCATTTTTAATAGCGCGGGGGGGGGGGGGGGGGGACCGGCACCCGTACCCAGCGTTCGCTGGGTGGGAAAATCAGGCAAGGCGGGAGGCTCTGCACGGTGCTAGGCCTCGACACTCAACACGCCACTCTGAGGTAAATTCATACAAATTTCACGTCCTCTACAGAGTGGCGAGGGAGGGAGAGTGGCGAGGGAGGGACTCAGCCTCAAAACGAGTAACTGGTGTGGCGTATCAACATCGCCACTGGGGAGACAAAGGCGGCCGGGCGTGGTGGATACAAGTCCCGGGCAAAGCCGGGTCATGACTATGTGTGTATGTGTTTATGTGTATGTCTGTGTGTCTGTATGTATGTGTGTATGTATGTGTCTGTATGTGTTTGTGTGTATGTATGTGTTTGTGTGTATGTATGTGTGTGTGTATTGTGTATGTGTTTGTGTGTATGTGTTTGTGTGTATGTATGTATGTGTATGTCTGTGTGTATGTGTGTGTATGTGTTTGTGTGTGTGTGTATGTGTGTGTATGTGCGTGTATGTATGTGTGTGTATGTGTGTGTCTGCAGCAAGCGCGTGTATGTGTACCTATGGACGTGTAGGGGGAACGGTAGTGTAGTGCTTAGCGTGCTGCCTGTGTCTGTATGTCTGTGTGTGTGTGTCTGTGTGTGTGTGTCTGTGTGTGTGCGCGTGTGTTGTGTAGGGGGGACGGTAGTGTAGTGCTTAGCGTGCTGCCTGTGTGTGTGTCTGTGTGTGTGTGTCTGTGTGTGTGTGTGTGGTGTGTGGGGAGCGGTAGTGTAGTGGTTAGCGTGCTGTCTGTGTGTCTGTCTGTGTCTGTCTGTGTGTGTCTGCGTGTGTCTGTGTGTGTGTCTGTGTGTGCGTCTGTGTGTGTGAGGAGCGGTGGGTGTAGTGGTTAACGCTACGCTGCGATACCAACCCGGCGAACCGAGTTCGATTCCCGCTCATGGCCACCACCGGTCAAGATTATTTGAACCTCCCATAGGTCGACTCAGCCTCAAACGAGTAACTGGTGTGGCGTATTAACATCGCCACTGGGGAGACAAAGGCGGCCGGCCGTGGTGGATACAAGTCCCGGGCGAAGCCGGGTAGTACAGCTAGTATCTGTATGTTTGTGTAAATGCTCATAACGAGTACCTATTTAGCCCAGTACAGCACACCGAGTGGGGTGGTGTGGTCAGAGCCACTTTTTTCCCTCCACGTTTTATGCTGATATACCACATCAGCCACACATTTTAGGGCTGAGTTTACCTAGTGGTATTCAATCGCAGAGCTCCTGAGAGATGGTAGCAGTGCGGGAAGGCCTTATTCTAGCAATGGATGGGACCATGGCTGATGGTGGCGATCAAGCGAAGGCCCATAACAGATTTATTTTCCATTTATTTCTTGCGTGCATGGCCTACAATTGCAGCTGTATAACTCGGATCATAATCCAGTAAGCTAACAGCTATTCCAGAATGTGTTATTACGTGTTTGCTAAGTATGTGTTAACCGCCACCTTGGACACCCTTGCAAACAAAATGTTCCATCTCAAGGGATTATTCACGTGATATATTCTAATAAATAAAATAAAAATTGTTCCTCTGTGTTTTATATCCACACAGCTCTCTCTCACACACTCTCTCGCACCAATTAGCCATGCAGTTCTTGCAATACACCTCTGCTAGCTACTCGGTATGGGTGGGAATATTGGCTATCACCTGCGATAACAACATGTTCATTCCTCCTGATACAGCAACAGGGATTGTGTGCATGATATGATGAATATACATGTGGAGATGTGGGGAGGGGGTTGGGGTATTGAGAGTAGCAGTGGTGGGCATTGAAGCGCAGACAAGAACACAAAAAAAGGCGATCCAGCTGGATAAATATTTTTAGAACGCTCACTTTAAGATCCTGGTTTAATGGAGCACCATTACAACAATTAGGGAGGCATTCAGGAAACAAAACTTCCTCCTGTGGTGGTTAGAGGTGGGCTGCCGGATACAATGACTAACACACAAATACACACAGTGGTAAAGAGTTGTCAGTCTTACTGGCCACTGGTTTAGCTCAAAAATAGTTTTTATCAAACAACATGCGTTTTAATGTGCGGCAATTAGGTGGAACATTGAAGTTATTGTTTTTTATAGTTACTATTACCATACATCATATATATTTGTACATTTTCCCTTTTGATTTGATAATTTGGCCAGTGGCATCTTCCTTCTTTGTTTCACTGAGCAATGTTGTATTCATCCGTTGTCGTTACGTATGTATGCAAAACATCAAATTCGATGGTTTTACAGATATACATTTTACACGCATCAGGACGCCTCTAAGCAAATCACATAGAATGCGCCCTGCACAATCAGGGATTTGGAAGCTAAGCGGGATTGAAGTTGGACAGTGCTTGTGGATGGGCGACCACCACACAGGTGCAGTAGGCATTGTGGGCAGCAGAGAGCAGCGGAATCTATTGTTATGGATTATTTCGACCTCTTCCAATCACCTCTGACCAGCGTGGTGAAGTATTGTCGTGTAATCACTGCCTCCTTCATGGCATGGGAGAGGCCCTCATCCAGCAGTGGATTGACAAACGATCTCTACGTGTGTAATGTAGCTCTCAGAGACACGGTCTTGTCTTTCTGTATATTTATATATATAAAAAGGAAATTTGTGAATGTGTGTCTGTTTGAAATGTTTAGCGTACTTCCCGACATGCAACAAACTTGAAATTTGCCATGTGGGTGGCTTCCAGACTGTACACAATGCGAAAAGTATAAAAATAGGCTTTTGTATTTTGGGGGGGGGGGGGGCGCAATAATGCATGTAATAGTTTGCATGGCAAGTGAGCGGTGACGTCACATCTGTGATGTCACCCGCATGCGGAAGCGTTACGCAGTGTGCCTGCTGACGTCACGCATCCCCCCCCCCAACCCTCCGCGTAGGCCGTGTATCCCGCACAAATGAGCGGCATCGCTGTCTCGAGTTTCTAAGTCAACGCGACTATTTTCAGCTCGCCACGTCATTCCCTTCCCAAGTTGCCTAGATCGACCTTGCGTATAAGTGGGTTAAGGTTGAATTTCCTTGAGTGAAAAACATCCGATTTAGTTACATTGATTTGTTTCGGCTTTTTTTATTTCTTGCAAGCATAATTTTTTTTCAGGGTTTTTCAGTGAAATATAAGGGAATATGAAATTAATCCTCAACAAGAATCCAAGTCCCGGACGAAGCCAGGTAGTAAAGCGAGTTATGTATAAAGTCCACTGACAACTCAACGAGTAACCGCGAGTGACTATGTATACTTGGGTAGTTAGACGACTCTATTCTGAGACAACGTAGCTTCTAGTCTCAAGGCAACTCACAGACGATGGAGACGACCCGATCCAAGGCGACAAAGACGACAACGACAGCGTCCCACGCCAACAGCCCCCAGCTCCGCCTCGCGCTGCCTCTTATCCTCGCCCGGTGCGGCCACGCCCCCATTCTAGAACTCTCCTCGCCCACCTGCCTCTGTCAATCACTGCCCTAGTTACACTTCCCCCGCCATTGGACCCCGTGCTCCCCCTCACGTGACGCTGTCAACGCTCGTCCAATCATCAATCATCATGAGCACGGCCATTAGTAACCATGGTCCCGGGGACCCAGACTGTCCCGCTATCGCTCCGCACTGTCTTTACAAATGTGCACACAAGGACAACACAATACACATTGTGTTATAGGAAATGTTTTCTCTTGCTAAATATAACACCAGGTTTTAATTCCGAAATAAAATGCACTCTATAACAAAGGTTTAATAATGACATAGTAGATAGACGGTCCTTGGTTTGTTCAGCAGGATCAATTGAGATATCACTCACCACTGATCTCTGCCACAGTGCGCGTGCTACTGCACCACCACCAGCCCCTCAGCGGAGCGTTCTTTACCTTTGCCGAGTGTAAACCTTTCTCGGGCTATTTTTTCCTGACCAAAATTGATGATGAGGAATTCAAAAGTGACCTCTTCTTCGTTCTGCGTGGAGCATGAAGAAAGCGCGTTGCGTAAGGCAAGGCCGTAGCCGTGGAGTCAACATTGGGGGGACCAAAAATCTCAATTGAAAACGAATTTCCTGCCTAAAATATTACAATACTCACTAACACATAGGATGGACTTTTATTTATTTTTTTACAATAATGTCTAATAGGGTATTTTATTGCATTGCTTTGTTTTTTAATTTTTTTACCTTTTCTTGTTTCATTGTATGTAATGGCAGAGATTAGGGATTAATAAAGTACAACCATAACCACAATCATATAAACACAAATCTATTTTATAGCAATATATTGGGGGGGGGGGGCATTTTGAGCATATTTGAATATTGGGGGGATGTGTCCCGCTCAATATTAATTATAAATACAGCCTTGGCATAAGGGGACATCCGCACGCCTCTACAGGCAGTGCCCTCGTGTTCACGCATCGCTCGGCACACCCTCGTGGCCTCTTCATAGCTGACGGAGGGGGCCCGTTGGCTGGTGCCGGGCATTCTGGCGAAAGGAAGAAAGAAAAAAGAAAATAGCCCCACGTGCAGTCGTGTGGTCACACTTTGGCGTTGGTGTGAGCAAGGGGGCTCGCACACACTGCCCAACAATTTCTTGTTTCCTGTTCGCGACCAGCCACACTGAGGAATAGTGCGTGCATCCCTCGCTCACGGCACCTCCGATTAACGTGGTTGGCTACGTATGGTGCAAAAGAAGTTCACCGTACATGCATACAGCATCATCGTCGCCAGTGTCTGCAAGCGGTCATTTGCCTCGTGTGTATTTTGTGCACATGGCTGCGTCCTTGAGCAGTCGTGTGTGAGTGTGTATGTGTGTGTTGCGTGTCTTTGTGTGGCTGTACACATGCTTGTGTGCGCGCGTGCCAATGTGTGTGTGCGCTTGTTTCATCTCGCGACTATTGTTGAATTGTCGCGTTTCATTCCCATTTGTGAAACGATAGACGATCGAGCGGGCTGGACGTGTCAGGCCGAGCAGAGGGGAGCGCCTGGCAGGATGTCTTCATGCTCCTCCGCCAGCGGAACTCTCTCGTAACGCCGCAAGGGGCGGCAGCAGCAGCAGCAGCAGCGGGGGTCTCACCCCAGGCCAACACCATGGCAGCAGCTACTCAGTGAGTGTTTTTTTTTGTTGAGAGGGCCTCCGAATATACATGACCTGTCTTGCTGACCAAACTCCACCAGACATGTCCGGCTGTAGGAATAACGCAACTTCTTGAAGCGACCGCACCGTAAGGAAAATTGCACAGCCATACATGGTTCCATGTTGATGCATGCTTGTGTCCTAGTTTACCTCTCAATCATGATGTGGGTACCGAGGTGGAAAGTTGTTAACTCCCTCGCCTGGCGCACAAGAGGTTGTGGCTTCATATGACACCATCCGAGATGTGGGTCTTGCGTATGTGGCCCGCCCTGAATTTCTAGAAAATGAAATCAATGGACTGGGACGCGCACACATGATCAATGAGCTTCCTCTCCACTTCCTCCACTTCGGCGTGCTAACAACCTTGGCACTTTAGATGCAATGGGATTGATCGCGTCAGTTGGGTTTCCATGACTCGATCCCATTGACGTGTGCACGTCCTGCGGTGCCCTGTTGGAGGAAAGTGCCCGAGGTATCGCAGTGCATTTCTGTAAAACTTCTTAAGCTGCTCTGGTCGGGATATCTGGCATGGAAGTGATATATCAGCCTCATGTGACTGGTCTGCAAAGGCCAACAGAGGGAAAAGGTGCCGTGTTGCATTTGGATTTAGACGACCCGTGTGAATCTTTATGTCCTGTAATTATATTTCAGAGCAAGGTAAATAAACAGCATTTGTTTGGAAATATTTGGAAAGATTTTGCATAAACAATGTTGACGGTGAGAAATACCAAATTGAAATTATTCCCTTTAACTAATTGCTCCTATACCACTCAACAAAACAAATAACTGTAGAAATGTAGCTTTCAAGTTGAAACTGTAGCAATTATTCACGTAAATCATATACTTAACTAAAATATATAAACCCATTTCCAATTAAACATTATTCAAGTAGAGGTTTTGCTTTTCACCAAAAATATAATTTCGTTTCATCACAATAAATCTGCAAGCATAATAACCTGTCAGCAGAGAGTTCACTTAATTTAACAATAAAGTTTTGATGCATGAGTGGTATTTGCATTCAATTCGCTCTGGTTAGGACTTGTCGACAACATTTTTTCAAGATTGATAAGTAAATGTTCGGGGCCAGAAAGGTGGAATTTGCAGCAAATCGCGTAAGGGATTTAATCAGGGCCCATGCTTCGTCCTGCTTGGCTCCATGTGGAGTTATACCCACTCGTGAGATTGCTCTGCCAATCTTCGTCCCACTTCTTTCCTACCGAACCCAATGGGGATCTTGACAGCTTTTGGGGAACTGCTCATGGTCCGAAAGGCAGCACTCGTATTTGTTGTCATGAATGTCGTCGTTCTCGAATGTTCACAGCTAAAAGGTGTTGGGGTGCACGTGACCATCCCTGCATTTCCTGCCAATGCTTATGACTGTACTTACGAAGGATATTTGTTTTCGTATTGCAATGTCATTGCTGGTTATAATTAGACCAACCTTTCAACCTTAGACCTAAGAGCGCGTTCGGATGCACAGATATATACCCCGTGAATATTTTAGCCGTTGTGCTTGGAAATATCGTCACATGCTTGCCATGGTCATTGACAACGAATTGCCCATCGCGTTCCTCGGTTTACGAATGTATGCCGAATATATATTTTACACTTACACAGGTGAAGTCCTAGCTAGTGGTAAATTGATGAGGAACAAATTAATGATCTAATCACTCCGTGGCGATCAATACAACCCGGGCATGTTGTGGTCTCTATCTGCCCCTCTCTTATGCGGACAGCTCCATGGCTGAAGCTCCCCTCCCATCAAATTCCACTCCTCCCCCTTCGCCTCGCAACATTACACTGTGTACCAGGGCTCTCGAGCCATTCCTATGGAAAGATGAACGCACATCGTTCGATGACACTGCTGCGTCGGCAGTGGTACGGAAGCACAGACAGCAAAGGACTTGAACACATTCGTCAGTAACACTGCCTTGAAGGGGAAAATATACATGACACGTGACATTTTAGGAAATGGCTTTTTTTCATAGCATAGCACGTGAAATACATTTATGAAGAAGGGCTGTTGCCTGAAACGTCAGCTCTTGGAAATATTTGATTTTATTGGTGAAAGTGAGAGGCTTTCTTGTTTTTACTATTTATGGAAAGATAGTTGTGGTGATTTTCCCCTGCAATTTATCGATTTTGGTCACATTTGGACAGGAGATTAAAAAATCATCATCATAAACTAATTATCATCAGTTACAATCAGTCCACTGCTGGATGAAAGCCTCCCCCAAACCATTGCCAACTCCCACACTTTTGTGATGTAACGATTCACGCAGCAGCTGCACGCGAGAGATGATTCCATCACTCCGTCTCTTGGCTGAACGGCTACTTTGATGCGTTCCGTATTTCTTCGTGGCCACTCTGTCAGAATCAGAATCTTTATTTAACCTGGAGAAATCCGATGAGCCGTGAGGCTCTTTTTCAACAGATTCTCCAATAGGAGTGGGTCAGAAAGCTGCATCATTCTTGGGCACCACCCATCGTCCTTTTTAGCGACATGCCCTTCCCAAGCCCGCTTACTGATCTTGGATTCGAATAAAGTCTTTAATGCGTGTACACCCTCTCATTCATTCATTTGTTACATTTTCCTCCCTCTTGCCGCTGCCTGCACATGATTTAATAATAAGACGTATAAATAGATGCAGGACAACAGAATCTCCCACGGTGTGGTTTGATGGCATTGGACGTGGCTTTGTAGGATGGCACTGAAGTCCATTGTGAGAATATTGTATCGGCCTGCTGCAGTGCCGGCCTCAGGGAAACTAGACCATTTTCAAGGGACACATGGTGGGAGATGGTGGGAGAGGGCGAGAGCGAGAGAGAGGGAGAGAGTTCCATTTCACAGACTCCCCCTTGCCTGCACCACTTCATAGCTGAACACAGAAACACTTTTAATCGTCCGTTACCGCGAGTGTTTCTCCTATAACGAGCTCCACAAAGAGAAAAAAAAACCCCACACACACGTGTGGTAGAATGTTCACTTGTATCATAATTAATGTACTGCTCATTGAAGGACTGCTCTGTATGCGAGCAGATTGTTAACCTGAATGTGTAAATCTATATGCCTTATGCTTGTAGGTATGTAGAATGTGTACGCGCAATTACACAAGAATGCAAGTGTATATATTTACTGGTGTTCATTGCCAGTAGAACAAATGCGTTTGTTCGCATATATATAGTTTTTCAATACATCAATAGTTTTGTCATTAACACACAAGAAGCTGTATGCACTTTATTATGAATCGGCCATTTAAATATTTGCACTTTTTGAATCGCTTTATCGAGTGGCATTTTTACGCTTTGTGGTTAACTCATTTCGGTTGATAATTACAAGTTGCACTCATGCAGAGAAAAATGGACATATTACATGTGATTGCAATGTTCCACATTGAGTATATGTGTTGCATTAATTTACCCTGACGAACTGTACATGGTCAAGGATAGCGATGGAGTCGTGGCCAAGGAATGGAACGCATTTGAGAGGACGTCGAGTGGAGATACAGAATTATGACAACAGATTATGTGCAGGTGCTGAGTGGACCGTTACATCGCATTGGGATAGCGGTAGGGTAGCGGTTAGCGCTACGCTGCACTACGAACCCGACCACCCGAGTTCGATTCCCGCTCACGCCCAACACCGGTGACGAATATCCGAAACTGGGCCTGGGCCTCCCCGAGGTCGACTCGGCCTAAAAATGAGTGCCTGGTGCCATGTGTAGAACATCGCCTCTGGGGAGACAAAGGTGGCCGGGTATGGTGCTGGCCACCCACCCTTCGTGTGCCGTGCCGGCCTTCATAGGTGCTACTCGCTAACAGCACTTGCCCCCACAGTTTGTTAGGGCTAAAGAGGGGATCTTTGTGTTTGTCTTGTTACATCGCAGAGCCCGCAAGAGATGGTGATGGCTGGGGGTGGGTGGTGTGTGGGCATCATCCAGCAGAATGATCATGGCTGATTTTGGTAATGATGATGATGATGATACTTTATACTGTTCAATTGACTTGGAACATCGGCCCATGCTGGCCGATGCCACGGCATGTGTTTATTTAGTATGAGATGCCAGATACAATGATCAAGCATGAATCCAAACGACAAGGATATCCTCAGGTTTGTTGGAATCTACGTCTCTTCTCTCCACCCTCGCCTCGGTCGATCGCAACTTTCCTTTGGCAATGGTCGTGGGTTAGGTTAGCAGCACTGTTTGGGTATGCTGCCATAGAAAAAGGTCAAATGTTAATTAATAATTACGGGTAGAGCAGAACGTTAAGAGGGCAGAAGGACGAGAAGGTTGTGTAATTAATCAGTTACCGAGTTTCACCGGAAGTACGCACACAGAAGCGTTCTTTGTAAAAAAAAACAAATTAATCTGCCCACAGCTTTCAAGACACAAAGAGAGATGAATATGAAAGACCCCGTGTTGTCTTTTAACTTAAATTGTTCCCATTTCATATTTACAAGTGGGAGCATAGTGCCGAAACAATATCCCCCGTGTGTTTTGTTTGTCAAATGGCAGCATTCAAGCGCTTGTGTAGAACACAACTTTGGTTATGTCACTCATGACAGTTGTTTTGTACATGCTGAGCTCCAGGTCAATGTAACCTGTCCTTTGCATCATTTTCTTCATCACCGTTGTTTCTTTGTTATTTCAGTTGAGATGTCATCTGGCCTTTCTCAGTCCATTGCAGCCTTAAAAAATAATAGATGTTCTCGTCAAAGAAGAGTTGCCTTGTGCCCACGTAAGAGAGCACTATGGTTTGGATTGTCCTGGTTTTCATCAATGTGCCCTGGCCCCCCTTGATTTATTATCACACGCTGCCGGTTGGAGTCTAACAAGTCGTGTGTTGGCATTTGTCAACCAGTGTTCCCCTAAATGCTGCGGTGCTGCTGCGTTTTGTGTGGCAAGAGATTTGCGCCGTGCCTTGAGGCTGTTTTTGAGAAGTTAGTGTATGCACACAAACACTGCGGGG